GACTGGACTACATCGACGCCTAGTTTAAAAATAGGAAGTGAAGTGGTAGAGCACGTTGACCGCTTCACTTATTTGGGAAGTACCATCAGCCCCAACGGGCTGATCTCTGACGAAATCTCAGCACGAATACAAGGGGCTCGTTTCGCATTTGTTAGTTTACGCCGACTCTGGCGTAGACGAGATGTTCGACTATCGACCAAAGGGCGGGTGTACTGCTCATCAGTCCGCTCCGTCCTCCTTTATGGTTGTGAGACCTGGCCACTGAGAGTGGAAGACATGAAAAGACTAGCTGTCTTTGATCATAGGTGCCTGCGTTCTATTTCCCGTGTAAAGTGGCATAATAAGGTGAGCAACATGGAGGTTAGGCGTAGAGTTCTAGGTAAACAGGGGAAATCAATCGACGAAGTCGTGAAGCTACAAAGACTGAGATGGTTAGGACATGTGTTACGTATGCCAAGCCATCGCCTCCCTCGACGAGCAATGTTAGCGGATATAGGGTCAGGCTGGAAAAAAGCTAGCGGCGGTCAAACAAAAACTTGGCATCAGTCAATGAAATCCACAACAGTTGGTCTAAGCCACGTAGGAAGGTGTAGACTTCCAGGCTGGGGTCCTCGGGACGGTAAAAATCTATGGTTGGAAACAATTGGTGACATGGCTCAAAATCGTTCTCAGTGGCGCAGATGCATCCACTCCCTGTGACTTATGATCTTCAATGAAACTGTTTTGTATTTCTTTATTACTCCTTTGTCTCACACCTCTGCTCACTGTTTCTATTATGCTTTTCTTGTACTTTCTTCTCTTGCTTCGCGTGCTACACGGAATGTGGCGACTTGAACTTCCGCACATTTGTGCAAAGTTCTATGTCGAAAACAAACAGACAATAGGTGTATTAGCGTACCAGTCGAGTTCATAATCGTAATAGTAGTTAACAGGCACAGACATAACAAAGTAGTAACGGGGAATTTATTCAATTCAGTTTCAATTTTAACATTGGTTTATTCTAAGTTTGATCATGGATCGATATCAGTTAGAGAATTATTGAAAACTAACCAGGGAGTACTGGTTTGGAACCCATCACCAGTCTGCATCCACTACAGGGGGTGTGAACCCAGGGCCTTCTGGTTACAAGGAAAGCTGGTAGGCTATTCAGCCACTGGGATCCGATTCAATAGCATATGGATTCTTACTTTTACGAGTTCAGTACTTTAGTGCAACCATCAGTCGCTGTCATTACTGGCGAGTGTCTGTCCTCACTTCCAACCGGGTGTACCCTACTGGTCATAACTTCTCATTTGAACTTCATCCTGTAACCAGCGAGCACCAGATTACTTTTCAAGAATTAGTTTGTAGGGGCCATTGAATTGAGTCCCAGTAGCTGAATCGTTTACGAGCTTGCTTGCTTGCATGTAACTGAAAGTCCTTGGATTAGAACCCCGTGTGGTGGGTGCGTACTGTCGGTGAATTCCAAAGCAGGCTGACGAAACAGCTGTCCAATACTCCTTTCTGGTTTTCACTGGTTCTCTAACTGATATCAATCCGCTGTGTTGTAACCTTAAAGATTCCTTTACCAAGTCTGTCATCTTCTACGGTTACAGATCTGCTTTACTTCTGTGCTTGAGTTGTATTTTGAAACTTAGCTAGTCAATCAGGCATAGCTCACAACCAACCAACCTGATACATGTAAAATCTACTGTGGTCAACTGACTTCCAACTAATAATTCCAATCAATAGGCATGGCTCAGCTTCAAGACCTACACAGTCATGTTCTCCATTCTATATATCTTTTTGGTGTTGGTGTTTTTAGACTAAAAATGTTACTGAAATGGAATTGATGATTGACATTGTCAGCCATGCACAAGTTGTAACTTGTTGTTGGTAACACACAGTTATGACATCGATATAAATCTCACTAGTATTTTTTGTATATGGACGTTTTGTTTAAAGTAGAGAAGTAGTAGTTCATGTTACTTTTAAGGCGTTTGATACTTACTGATCTAAATCTACTTATGAAGTGCCTACCAAACAAATATGGCTTAGAAAACAATCAATAAAATTACGTGATAGTAAACTGTTGCATAAGTGTAATAAGTATGGGATGACATGAAGTGGCAAGTCGAGAAACGCGATATAATTATTTAGATTTTCCCTAAACAAGGAAGGGATAATAACTGTAGAGTTTGTCATTATTAATCTTTTTTAGCTGGCTCCACTATTACTTGTAAACTTTCATTCCCTCTTGACATGATCTTCTCCAAGTCACCCTGCAATGTCCAACTGCTCATTTCCTACACGGGTTCCAGATAACGGCTTGCCGCCTGTCTCGTGTTATTACTCAGAGGGGCTCCTCAACATATATGCAACCCATCTTTATTTCCTTATACACATTTGTACCATTTGGCTTCACTTTGTAGATGATCTAGAAAGACGACTCTGGTGGAGCTAGGTGGCCTGAGTTCACCAAATGCTCAAGAATTGAGCTAGTAATTGTCTTACATTGTCCTTTTGCTAATCATACCAGATAATGTTCAGAGATGAGTTTGGAAAGCGTGGGCTTTGTGCGGGCGGCCAATATAACTAGCTCCATACCAGCATGTGAATTTATAAACGCACTTCGGGAACTGAGGCGACTCAGATAAGCCCTCATAGAGAATGGATATCCTCGAAGATTTATCAAAAAAAAAACATGAAGTTAAGGGAAAAGCCTGAAACAATCCAGACGGTGACGAAAAAACTGCTATTAATGAGTGTTAAATTTAAAGGTGATACCGCACCTGAGATCCTGAAGAATCGCCGCCTATGCAGATCACTGAGGAAAGCCTTCTTTATAGCTGAGCTACGACATATCAATTTTTACAGCCGACAAATGATCAATGGATGTGTGAAGGATAAACTGCCGCTTTGGACTGGCCACTTCAATGTGTGTTTATAAATTCACCTGCTTGTGTGGAGCTAGTGATATTGGCCGCACAAAGAGCACGCATCTCTGAACATTATCCGGTATGGTTAGCAAAGGAAGAATGTAAGACAATTACTAGCTCAATTCTCGAGCATTTAGTGACCTCAGGCCACTTAGCTCCACCAGAGTCGTCCTTCAAGATCATTATACACATTTATTAGGTGTGAGGTTCTTGGCTGATTCGCTGTCAGAGTAGGCAAATAAAAAAATCATGAGAAAAATTCAAAGATAATTAATAGAAAGTTGTAGGACAGTTTGTGGTGGATACAGTCGGGCTCTTTATGAGGTAGGTCAGTTATTACCTTGAGATTATACATACAAATATAAGCTGTACAGATGATAATTGTCAGTAAGTATGAAAAATAAATTGGTCAACATTGCCTTCGGAAATTCCTACAAATATTCAGCACTGTTACTGAATGACTGACTGGATTGTTTCAACGTAGAACTTTGCACAAATGTGAACCGCTTCGAAGTTGCCACACTCCATTCTGTGAACCACACAAAGCAAGAGAAGAAAGTGAAGACAGATTCAAAAGAGAGGGAGAGAGAGATAATAAAGAGAAGTGTGAGTGAGGGAAAAAGAGTAGTAGTCATATGCAAGAACAATCGAGTTTTATAGGATATTACAAATCACACGGAATCGATACATCTGCTCCACTGAGAACTATTTTGAGCCATGTAATCAATTATCTCTAGCCACTGGTTTTTACCATCCCGAGGACCCTAACTAGGCAGTCAGAACCTCTTTATGTGACTTAAACTAACTGTTATGAATTTGACTGACCATCGCTAGCTAACTCTTTTTTTAACTTGATTTTATGTCAGTGGCTAACACCGGTCTGTTGTCGAGAAAGGCGACTGCTGGTTAGGCATGCGTAATACATGTTTTGACCATCTCAATCTGTGTTACTTCACAACCTCATCGATTGATTTCCCCTCCCAACTACCTAGCACTCGGCCGAAGCTTCACCCTAATATTGCTCACCTTATTAGACTACTTCACACGGGAGATAGAACACAGACACCTATGATCAAAGACAGCAAGTCAGGCTTTTCCTGTCTACCATTCTCAACGGCCATAAAGGGGAGGACGTAGCGGACTGATGAGCAGTACGCGCGCCCTTCGGTCAACAGCCAGTCAGCCGGATGTCAAGTCTGCTATGCTAAAGATGGCGTGTGTTGGCGTATTCCAAACGAGCCTTCTGTATCCATACTTGGACTTCATCAGCAATCAACCTGCTGGCTTTGGCTGACTCAACTTCCCAAGTAAGTGGATGAAGTGGTCAACACGCTCCACCAACCACTTCACTCCTTCCTATCTTTAAACTAGGAGTCAGTCAATATTTACTGGTCCTTTAGCATCATCACCTTACATTTGACGGGATCCTGCGAATTGCATGCCAAGCATTCGAAGATCGCTGCTTAACTCAAGGTGTTTAGAAGACTTTGAATGTTGTCAACGTTTTCCCTTAGGGAGGAGAACTATATCATCCGTATATTGTAAGGTAGGTAAGTGCGTTGGTGGCACAGTGGTTAGGACTCTCGCCGACCATGCACATGGTCCGAGCTTCGATCCCCTGTCGACGCACACCTGATATATATGGTCGGCCTGCGAAATGTGGGCTACCGATATCCATGCTGAAAATTCCATACTTGTACCAAAAGTATACAGTGTGAAATCAAGCTGTAAATCAAAATAAAAAAAAATAAAATAAATAGGGGGATTATTCACTGGTACGGAAACTAGTCGCCAGTGCCTTAATGTTGTGTTGATGTACCACTCATGTCGTAGCCTGAAGATCACAGGTGTGTGTGTGTGTCTTAAGAGTTCTAAACTTGGACGAAATTACCTGTTAAGTGTCCCCTATTTATTTGGTTTCAATGGTTCTTTCACTCACATGTGTCGGTTAATGAGTGAGCAAAATCTATTCTGAAATCAACTAGCGTAAAGTAGAAAGTCGTTCACATCACTTGAGTATCGTATAATTTTGATTCTTTTAATTATACTGTACTTTAGAATTACTTATTTTCTCTCTTGTAGATTGCGCATCCACATGTTCGTGATCAATTATTGCATTTTATTCATTCTGGATTCTTGATTCCAGTTTTAGGATCTGCATTACATCAAGTGAGTGTATTCGGGGGGGTGTATTTTAGCCCCTTTGTTATTGTTGTTGTGGAGTTTTATGTTTTATGAAATGTTAAAAAAAACCTTTTTTTTACAATAAAAGCCGAACACGTTTCTGCATTTTACAATTTATTTGACTAGTGAACATGCTCACAGTGTATCGTATCATATCATATAATGAATATAATTTTATCTTGATATGGTCTTCTTCTTCTAAGCTAGGTGGCCTCATTCATTGCGAAGCTTTTATAGGCCTTTTAGACAACATCTTCAACTCAAACTTCAAAATAAAGTCGTAGACTTGTTTGTTTTTCTTGATGATGTTTGCTGTGATATTAGATGGTCCGGCGGGGGGGGGCAATCGGCAGGAAGCCTTGATTAACCTAGATCTCAAGGCAGTTTGCACTCGTCAGCAAGGCGTACCTGCACTCATGATGGATATCATATCCTTCCTGAGATTCAAACCCTTGTCCTTCACAGCGGTGCAGTCAGACACTTTACTACTGAGCTAGTGTCCAATCATAGTATCTAATGCAGTCCTACAGGAGTTTGATCGCGATCCCGAATAGCTCAGTGGTAATGTCTTGGATTGCAGCACTGGGTGGTGACGTGGGTTCGGGTATCTGAAAGGAGATGACTTCCTCCAAGATTGCAGATATATATGCCTTACTGACTAGTGAGTGTCAACTAATGCTCAATCTAGGCGGAAGGCTGCCTTTCGATCGTCTCCAACCATTTAATATCAATAGTTCAAAGTGCACGTCATTGCGAACCACCTAGAATAGTCGTAGCCAAATTGCAAACGTGTCTGATAGAATTCAGCTTGCACCAAAAAATGTCTAGACCCATTACACTAGTTACTAGCTAGTCTGTCTGTTTTCGACATAGAACTTTACACAAATGTGCGGAAGTTCAAGTCGCCACACTCCGTGTAGCACGCGAAGCAAGAGAAGAAAGTACAAGAAAAGCATAATAGAAACAGTGAGCAGAGGTGTGAGACAAAGGAGTAATAACGAAGAACAAAACAGTTTCATTGGAGATCATAAGTCACAAGGAGTGGATGCATCTGAGCCACTGAGAACGATCACTTTGATCCATATCACCAATTGTTTCCAACCATAGATTTTTACCGTCCCGAGGACCCCATCCAGCAAGCCAGTCTACACCTTCCTACGTGGCTTAGACCAACTGTTGTGGATTTCATTGACTGGTGCAGCCAAGTTTTTGTTTGACCGCCGCTAGCTTTTTTCCAGCCTGACCCTATATCCGCTAACATAGCTCGTCGAGGAGGCGATGACTATGCATGCATACGTAACACATGTCCTAACCATCTCATTCTAGCTAGTGTCCAATCAAAGGACCTTTGACGTGATTAGTAGTGATCTTGAAATTTTTACCTTTCTTGTGACATGCCTCATTCTTTACTAGTTGGTAAATTCGATCATTAGTAATGTGTCTGTTATTAGCTAACTCGTCTGATTCCTCTACGTTTTTTTGGAATTGCTTGGCAATTTTTTTCCTGGAGTTTCTACATTTTTCCAGTTCATAGGTGGTGTCCGTATGCATGGATATGAAAGACAACTAGTTAATGTTCTTGGATTAGGAGTTGAAAACGACGTCCACTTTAACCCATACAGTATTTTAGTCACAGTTCATCCAGTTTCTTTTTATAGATGATGTGTTGATCTTGCCTTTTTTTATGCTGCTGGTAGCAGTGATGGGGGTGGGGATTCTTTTGATCTGCACTGTATTGAATGTGGTGATTGTGTTGGTTTTTGTTTGTGCGATGTTTATTCAGAATAGTTTTTCTTATTCTAGCAGTTATTTCAGAAATAGTCTTCACTAATATGGCAGAATGAATCTTTTATTGGGCATTTCTGTGGATGGTGTTCTGATTCGAGTTTAAACATCTTTTTTGGTGTTGCTGAAATTCTTAGGGTATCCGTTTTTCTTCTTGAAGTCAATCAGTTAAGATAAATATTTCTCTCTCGTACTCTCCACAGGATTGGAGTGTCGCAGAATGTGTTTTGGCTCTGTTGCGTAATAATATTTAGAAAAACATATTTAAGCGAACAATACTGTTTTCAATTAGATCTCATCAGGCTTAACTCTAATATTTGTTGTTGTTATGCGGTAGATACATTTTTAACGTGGAATAACAGATTAGTAGTTACGGGGTGTCAAAATAAATAGTCATATTTGTGTGACAAACGTCGTCCTCTGGGCTGAAATCCATTAGAAATATTGTAAAACGGGAGACAATGGTGATGAATAATCATAATAGAATTGTAGAGTGTGGGGTAAAAAAAATTGACAAATCAGTTCAAGGGGGGAAATTAAGTGCATAAAAAAAGGCTTAATCCTGTCACACTTGGTCGATACTGGATATCGTATCGATGTCAACACAGCTCTCAGGGTTATACACCGAATCCCGAAGTCATTATCACGTACAGTTCGCTTATGTCTCCTACACATAGCTGAAGCTGTTGCAATAAGATCGACTAAACCAGAACTGTTTATCCAAAAAGAACACGTCCAGACGCTGTTCCTACCGTGGCCAAAGTTGGATTCATGATTCTTCTTCTCACCAAGAGTCCTTCTTCCCCTTAACCCTCTTCGTTTTTTTTTAATTGCTCATTATTACAAATATTATTACAATTATTTGTCATAATTTATGCCCTTCATGCAAACATTCTCTCAATACTATCGAATTTTCCATTTATACTATCCGGACTTATTATTATTATTATTATTATTATTATTATTATTAGTGATATTATCTCTTTTCTCAATATGTATGTCTCCACCTGTTTCATTTCACGACACATTCGTTATTTCATTGTGAACCACCTCTGATTGCAGTCTTACTATCTATCTCCTCCTCTTTAATACATACCACTTTGTACTAACCAACCACTTCACTCACTCACTCACTCACTCACCTGACACCTTTTATAACCTTGAACAAATTGACTTGTCAATTTTCCTACCCCACACTTTACGAATGAATCTGTTATGATGACTAATCACCACGACATTGTCTCCCATTTCACCGAAATATTTTTTAATCGATTTCAGTCAGCCCAGAGGACGACGTTTGTCACACAAATACGACTATTTATTTTGACACCCCATAACTACTAATCTGTTAGTCTACGTTAAAAATGTAACCCCCGCATAACTGGCCATCAATATTGTAACGACCACAAATATTATAATTGTTTTATAATTGTAAGAACCTGAAGAGGAGAAATTATTGAAAAGAATATTCTTTGTTCAGATTGACTTTTAACTCTGAGATAATATATATATATATATATATATATATATATATATATATATTACTATGGAAATATTTAATATACTGAATAATAATATGATGGAGAAGATGTGTAGCTCAAGTAGATCACTTTGATGTGGTGTTCTCTGAACTGGATGGTTTATTTGCGAAGCTTTTATTTTTGCCCTACTAGGCTACATCTTCAGCGCATACTTCAATTTGTTTAGATGAGCTTGTACCTTTCTCTGGAAGTTTATTGGTCGTCTCTCCTGGCGACCTTGAACGTGCTTGGTTGTTTGTGTGTTTTCAACCAATCACGTTCAAGGTCGCCGGGAGAGATGACTGGCTAATAAACTCGTGGAGAAATGTAAAAGCTCACGTGAACAAATTGAATTATACGCTGAAAAAGGGTTACCTAGTAGGGGGTAATGAAAACTTCCCAAATAAACCATCCAGCTCAGAGAACACAACTACTTCAAAATCTGTTGAATAATGTTTGTGTTGGTTGTTTGTTCTTCTCTTGTCACGTTGATGTCTTTCAATATGTTGTTGCTTAATTTGTTGGACTATTCTAAATCATCAGTTTTTCCTATATAAATGAGTTATCTACACAACTCGTCTAGATTTTTGGTTGAATATTCATGAAGTTGTCATCATTTCCAGTCGATAAGACCTAAGTTCCGTACTTTTTTTGTATTATGGCTGTTTGCAGCTTACCTGGGGGTTGGGACCCCTCGTCACCTAGTGTTACTACCAGAGATTCTAACCTTCAGTTCTTTGAATTCATCAATGACACCTCCTGGACAGTTGTAATTAATACACTGATTAGTCATTAGCTATCTTTCGCTACAGGTGTTTGTGTTAAGTGATATATTATGGTGTGTAATATTTAAGCCAGGCTTAGAGTGCTGTGTAAGGAGGCCAAGTTAGTAGTTGGTGAAATTGTGAAAACAACTGCATCGATTGAAATGGTTAGGATATATGTGTTACGCATACCATGTCACATTGCCCTTCTGGGTATGTAATGTTAGCTGATATTGCATTAGGGTGGAAAAGAGTGTGTAAGGGTCAAATCAAAATATTTCATCCACTTCATCATGAAGTCTTGGACAAGTGATTTAAGGCAACCACTTGGGAAGGTGTAGAAGGCTTGGTTGAGGTTTCTGTGACGTTAAGAATCAAAGCCTGAAGTGCAGACTGTTGGTGACATGGCTGAAAATCATTCCTAATGGTTCAGACGCGTTCACTGCTCTCTATAATCGCCAAGAGCCAATACTCCATGATGGTTTTCTATGTTGCAATTTTTTTCCCCGCGTTCATTCGTGTGCATTATAGTCGTTCTGAATTTTTTTTCTGTCTCTCTATTCTCTACGTGTTTGTGTGCTATATGGAATTTGGCAACCTGAACTGCTACACTATTGAAACTTGCTAAGTCAGTCAGTTAGTTAAGTGGATGTTTGCAAGTAATCGACAGGTTTTGTACTTGTAAGCAGTCGTCAACAGGGCGTATCTTTGATCTCGATAGATCTGACGTTTGCTCGGGGGTTCGAGGCTGTGTCACATAATGACACTATAAGAGACCTCATCACCACTGAGGTATTTGGGTTGACAACTGACGTCTTTTAAGACTAAGACTGTGAAGGAAGTGAAGCGGTAGAGCACGTTGACCGCTTCACTTACTTGGGAAGTACCATCAGCCAGTGCCAACGGGTTGATCTCT